GATTTGCATGAAGATATCTCCACAACGACCTAACAAAATTTGATGAACTATTTTTATTTGTATTTTTGAATTCAAAAGATTCAAATAAAAATTTTTATTGAAATTATTTGGTGGTTGATAATATATAGGTTTTTAAACAAACAAGTTAAATTTTTTTTTTTAAAACTCTATTAAACTCAAACTATTCAAACAGTTTGCAACTTTGAATCAAATTTCAAATCTATCAAACTTAGCTAAAATATTTGCCTTCAAATCAAATTCAAATACTTTTTTAAAAATAGTTTGAGTTTGAGTTTGGTTTGAAACTCAAACTTGTTAAAAGTTTGATTTGATTTGATTTGATAGGAACCTTAAGATACTGGGTTTAATAACAGCAAACTGTACAAAGGCATAATAAATAATAGTAGGAATAACTCTCAAGTACATGCATTAAGCTATAGTGTAAATTACCAAAAAATTTTGATAAATACATAAATAAGCATATACTACTTTAATAAGTTTATTTTAAAGATAGACTAGTCTGTAAAGATTAGTAAGTTCTAAGGCAGGGTGCAAAATCTAATTAGTAAATACAAAATACACTACTGAATATTAAGGAATATAATAACAGGGTTAGAGTTCTTATTTGCTTGGAATTAGATTATGGCTAAAGGGTTTAAATAGTTATAGCAGATATTGTAGAACTCTTAATAGGTAAACTACTTAAATTAGATATAAAAAATGCATATATGGCTTAACATACCCTTACTGTAACTGAAATTAAACTCTAATAAAATATTTTCAAATCAAAGAGATTATCTTAATACCAAAAAAAAACAAAAATAAAATAAAAAGAAAAGTTAATATTATATTGTTTGGTTGTCTAATTATAAGGAATTAAACAATTTTATCATATATTTTCTTCTTAAAAATGAGGTTCTCTGAAGCATTAAGTGTATTTCTTATATTCAAATAGCAAAGTCTATATCTAGTCAGGTATATAGTAAAAACTTATTATATTAGTTTTTATTAGTTAGTTTTTCAAAAAGTATAAAAATATTTTTTGAGTTTAGTAGATTTATTCTGTATTTTCTTCAAATATTTCCAGAACTCATTGGACTCTACTATACAATTGTAATTTGCTCTTAATAAAATTAATCAAGTTTTTATATGATTTTGCTAAGCAATACTCAAACTTAACTACATATTATAGTTATTGGAATAGTAAGTAATTTTGTAACAAAATTTTGTTACAAAGACTCATTATAAAAATTATGAAAATTCTAATGAAAACTCATTTAACCATAACAGTAAGATCTTAACAAAATATTTTTAGTAACTTATGAATAGATGTTAACCAAATTGTAAACTAACCTGCCTTAAGCAATTATAGTAGTCACCAGAATAGCAAATAAGTTCTGCAACAAAGTTATTCACAGTAACTGATAAAAATTATAACAATTACAAGACAAATAACTCAAACTTAACCACATATTATAGTCACTTGAATAGTGAGTAAATTCTGTAGTGAAGTTTTTTACTGAATTCATAATAAAAAATCACAATAATTCTAATTTAAATTAACATAATTTTAACATACAGTAGTCACCAAAACAGCAAGTTCTGTATGAAACTATTTACAGTAACTCAAAATAGGTATTATGATGCAAACTAAATCACCTTAACCACATATTGTGATTACTGGAATAGCAAGTACTGTAGCAGAATTTTTTCAGTAACTTATAATAAAATCATATCAATTCCAATGCAAACCAACTCAAACCTATCTACATACTTATTAGAAATCACGATAATTCTAATTGAAGCTCAATCACATATGGTAGTTACCGTATCATGCTGGTGATAGATAAAATGATAAATAATTCACATAATATAGAATTCATTGTAATGAGAAACAATATAGAATAGTTATAAAAAATAAGGCAATAAGTTAGCCTACTTAATTGTGGTATAAAAGATTAAAATAATAAAATTTTATACATAACCTGAAGTGTATAAAAATATCTACTAATAGCAAATAATATGTAAAGGCTACAAAATATACACAAAACAATTTCTTATCATCATTAATACAAATCTTTCTATTTTGCTATAAATTATAATATGAAATTGATAATGATTTGTGAATTTCACTACAATATGATACAGTTCTAACTCCATTTAAACAACTAAAGCGCCTATTTACTGTTACAGAAATTACTATTTCAGTGATTTCTATCTTTAGTACTGTAAAAATTCTGTTGCAAAACCTATTATTATTCTTTTAACACAGTATGCGGTTCACTAATGCATGTTATTTAACGTTACCTATACCTCAGTTAATAATATCAAAGATATGTAGGATGCGTAACGCACGAAAGTTGATTTTAACAAATCAAAAATAGATAATTAAGCTTCGATATTATCATGTAGAAGACTGTGAATGTCATAGTCAAAACATAACTTTGGACGTCTTCATTTCACGATATTCCGTATATTTACTATGATAACTTTCACGATATTCTATATATTTTACAATGATAACTAAATTATATTTGAACTTAAAAAAATTAATGTATTTAGAATAAGATATACAAGCTATTTTTATACAGCAAATTCTTAATTTTTTCAGAATTCTCGACATAGTACAGCCTACCCTCGTTTATATCAACCTATTTAAATTCATGCTGATAGTGATATTAACAAGGGATTATATTAAAGTTGATATAAAAATTCATCTTATAGCTTATGTTGACATTACGAGGGTAGACTATAGATTTTAGGAGCTATTTGTATTCGATTTAAAATAATATATTCTAAAACTATGATTAGAGAAAGAAAAATAAAAAACAAGTTCTGATAGTTTTTATCTTACGATATATGAGCAGCTTTATTATATTCCATTAAGATTTATTTTAGTTTGTGAAAGTGTTTTGCAGTTAATTAATTCCTCTTATAAAAATTTAAATCATCTGCTGGAGTTTTTCAAATATTTCTTGAACGTCTGGTCGTTTTTCAGGTGCTTCGTCCCAACAGTAACTATATAATTTAATATAGTTTTCCGGCGTGCCTTCCACTGGAACTTCTCTTTTTCCTTTAAAAATTTGATAAATTACTTCAATTTCACCAGGGAGATGTTGAAAAGGTGGGTGGCCACTGGATATCTCCCAGAAAAGGACCCCGAGACTATAGATATCTGACTTTTCATTACGCTCATAACTATGATCCTTTAGGTATTGTGGGTCTACATAAGCCGGTATGCCATTGCCTGTAGTCATCAATTTTCTACCTGCAAACGTTGATGTACCAAAATCAGCTATTTTCATTATATCATTGTGTACCAAGACGTTTTTAGAGTGCTAAAAAGGCAAAAATAGTATTTTTTTATATGCTAAAGTTCAATTAAAAACGTACTAATGAATCATATAAAAAACATGGTACTTACAAGATCTCTATGAACAATAGTTTTATTTTTATGCAAATATTTGAGTCCATTCGCGATATCTAACGACATTTGTAATTTTCTTTCCCATTTGAATTTAGTAAAGTTTCTTTTCAAATACTCTCGCAAGTTGCCATCATTAGCATATTGCAGGATCAAAAAGTGACACGTAGTATTTTGATCCTCAGTGATTCCATAAAATTTAATGATATTTGGGTGAAAATCATTCATGGTCGTGGTTAGCAGTTTTGCCTATTATAAAATTAAATAATAAAGATTATATAGAATCAATACATAAAAGAACTGCACAAGGTTTTATAATATCAATTCGATGAGTATCCGAAGCAATCAATAATTCTGTGTAAGAACTTGACATATCAAAACTGTACCAAGTTTTATTGACCGAATATGTAGTGTAAAAGATTACAATTACAATATTAGAAGTGTAAATCTTTATTATCACATACCTCTCTGATGAATTCTTCGCAAACGCATTTATTCGAGATCATTTTAGATTTCAGACTTTTAAGCGCTATCATTTTGCTACGGCTTTTACAATATGCTTTTTTGACTTGGCAATATCCTCCTTCGCCAATTTTTTTAAAATTGGAAAATTCACTGAAATTATAACATATAAATTCTGATTTTTTAATTTCCTCACCCAACGAATAATTTAATATTTCTTTATGAGTTCCTTCAAATTTTACGTTTGATTGTTTTGAAAATATTTTAAATTCATTTCTATATTCGAAAGCTAATATTGCATAAACATTAAACATATTAATGTGATGCGTAAACTAAAAGTTGTATTGTATACCGTAAATCGCCGTATTCCACAAACTTTAGAAACCTTTAATAGGCCCGGGTATAGTACATGATAAAGAGTTTACATCATGTAATGTAAAAATTTGAGAACTACATTTAAATTAAAGATCCTGTGATTTGCATCCGGTATAGTGCATGGTGGGTTTACTATCGATGGGAATGTTTTATACAGTGATTTACGGTAATTGACTATTAGTGCAACTTCTTACATGATTCTTGTGAACTTTGAGTTGTTTCATTTGATCCATCTTCATTTTCTGAATCACTAAAAT